TCTGTTATTCAAAATTTAGTTCAAGCTGAAATAGACAGGGTAACAGACTGGTGTGAGAAAAATCATATGTCACTCAACGTTGACAAATGTTCATACACTTACTTTTCACTTGATCCTAAAATAAAGCTCGATTTTAAGTTAACTCTATTAAACTCGAAGGTCTTGCTCGATACCGATCCTAAACTTTTAGGTATGCGGCTTTCTCACGATATGAAATGGGCAACACATATCCGCGAAGTAGCAACATCTTGTGGGAAAATGCTTGGTGTTATTAATCGAGTTTTCGGAGGAGCATCTCAGTCAATTCGCTTAGTTTTATATCTTACTTGCATTTTACCCAAAATCGATTACTGTAGTGCTCTTTGCGGTTCTAAATTCATCACACCTCTTGAATCACTAGAGGCGGTTTAACCTTTAGCAAGTCGTATTATTACCAGAAACCTCAATTACGAAACTGATAGTCTATCTCTAGTCAATAAACTAGGTTTGCCCGATCTCAGTGTCAGACGCCAGTACTTTCGACTCATATCATTTTACAAAATTTACAATAATTTGACTCTTCTCGAATCTAAGGATTTTCTTGCTAAATTGACTTCTAGGTCTCTCCGAGAAGTCCCTTCACTCCTTTCGAAACTGTCCAGTCATCCTTCTTTTGGAGGACTGCAAAAGACTGGAATACTAAAGATCTAGAAAAAGTAGTTTCCATCAATTCTCTCAAAATCTTTAAAAAGGCTTTAAAAGAACATCTTCATCTTTAGTCGTTCTCTATTTTCAAATCTTTGCTTTTCATCATTTGTAAGCAAGATGAGTGTAAGTTAGCGGAGGAACAACAGTGTGACAGCGTAAAGTATAACTTATATGTAATGTACTCATCTTGCCTCAAAAATTAGTGTGAAAAGCATTTCTCTCGCTATTTTTAGTTGTTGGTCATGATAGGCAGAAACTTTGAATTCCATGTTTATTTTTTTTGTTGCAAGTCATTCTTATGTCTGAACTTTTATTATGTACCATGGTATGTTACCAAAATAAAAAGAAAGCTGAGCAAAATAGAAAGAAGCAGCTGCCTCTTGATTAAGTTAGTTGTTGCTGACCTCGTCCTCATGAGATGACTATTGCTGTGACGGAAGATAAATGTCATCTGCCGCCATCGAACATATAGGAGATAGGTGAATAGTCCGCTGCTTGGCATTCTTCGGTATCTGCCGGATCAATAAGTGAGTGGATCGTTAGCTGGTCCTCCTGAGATGGGCATGGGAGTGATCAAAGCGATATGTCATCTGGTGCCTCGGAACCTCTACGAGATAGACGTATACTGTAATCTTTGGCATTCTTCAGTAACTGCATCATGACTGAGCCAGTTGCCGTTGACGGTTTCCTAGTCAGATGAGCATTGCCCTGGCGAATGTGAAATGTCATTTGCTGCCATGGAACATATAGAACACAGATGAATAGTCCGGTTGTGGGCATTCGTCAGTCGCCGCATCATTATTGAGGCGGTTGTTGTTGACATCATCCTCGTGAGATGTAGCGCGTAATCGTTGGTGTTTTTCACCAGTCACATCATCAGTGAGTCAGTTGTCGGTCACATCGTCGTCGTCAGGTGAGCATTGCTGTGACGAAAGCGAGAGGTCATCTGCTCCGATGGGTCATCTACGAGACAGCTGGATAGTTTTCTGATTGGCCGTTTACAGTAGCTACATGATGATTAAGTCGGTTGTTTCTGACCTCGTCGTCGTGAGATGACTACTGCTGTTGCGGAAGCGGAATCTCTTTTGGTGCCATGGAACATATAGGAGATAGATGAATAGTCCGCTCGTTGCTACTCTTCACTACCTGTGTGACCAATGAGTCAGTGGTTGGTACCTGATCGTCGTGATGTGGGCATTGGTGTGTGACGAAAGCGACATGTCATCTGGTGCCACGGAACGTCTAGGAGATAGATGACCAGTCTGCTTTTTGGCATTCCTCAGTAGCTACATCACGATTGAGTCCGCTGTTAGTGACATCGTCGTCGTGGGGTGAGCACTGCTCTGACATAAAGAAAGAAGACTCGAAAGGATCTGAGAACGAGATTGGACTAGACCTCTATCTTCTAGAATCGAGTGAAGGATCCTTACAAGTAGAGCGTCAAACAATTATTTTTCTCAATCTATTCCCTTGCTAAGCTGCTCTCGTAAGAGATAATGTAGAGAGTGACAAGATAAAAAATCTCTCTCATTCTTTTTTACTATCTCTCTAGAAGACCTATACATTACATAGGCGTTAGTCAGTGCTGGTGATACATGGACAATGTTTACATTGTTCACATTGTCTACTGAACACTGGTATAGTAAAAATATAAGGAGTGACAAGATAAAAAAAGAGAAACAATTCTTTTTTTATTTATATAAAGAGCGAAAATAAATAGACTGTAAAATAACATAAAGCCAAAAGAGCAGCCCAAAACAGCACTGCTTGATTATAGGAAGACTAAACATAAAAGACTTATCCATTTGTCTTTCGTTTGTTTTGTCTGGTTCTAGTGATTCCCATATTACTTTATCAGCCATAAATTCTGTTTTATCAAATGAAATCGTTCTTCTGTAATGCATATGGAATGATTTACAGAGTTATTGAAAATAATTATCATCTGTTCCATTAAGAAGAATTACATTTTCAATATTTGTCTCAGTATGTGTAAATTCATCATCATCTGGACAATCGTAATCTTGATCGATGTAATGACTCATTAAACCAACATACAATAAATATTTCTGATTGGGATAATCCAGATATAGCGCGTTTTAATAAAGTGGCAATAGCGCGATCTTTGTTTTTCAATAAATGTGATGACATATTAGCTTTTGTCTGAAATAGATAACGTGTAATTTCTCATTAGTTCAGTAATAAAAACAATGATTTACTTACATATTCACGTTCCAAGGGAACAAGGATATCAATGGTCCATCAAAATTAGTTGTTCGGAACAACTAAATTTGATGGACCATTAATATCCTCATACCAGCTTGTTAATACCTGACAAACGTTGTGAACATATTCTTCATCAGCCCACCTTTGGTGCCGCCACGAGAGCAGCTCTCGTTATACAAATTCGAAAGTTTTCTATTTACATTTTCTGTACGAGATTTGTCTAACTTTATCACATCTCTAGTGGCCATTCTAGTCAGCGGCGTCTATCCCCACTTGAATATTTGAGGCATTTTGTACCACCTTGCAGGCTCGATCTTTCAGTGTACCACCTAAAAAATTAATTTCTACAGCAAAAAAGCGTACCATCTTACTTTTGTTTGAGGCATTACGCCTCAAACGTCCCGCAGGATAGACGCCCCTGATTCTAGTTCTCTGCGAGAAAATCTTTCAAGCTCAGTTCCTTTCAAGAGAACTCTACAAACAGACACATGAAACCACAACTAGCGATCTCATCTGAAAACTAGACAAGTTTGATATCCTGTTTTCTTATACGCAAAATAAACGTATCTATAACTCCAGTTAGTAAAGTAAGTGAAATATACCAAACTGTTCGAACATATCAGTTCGTTGCAAAAGAGCTGTTCGAACATATCAGCTTCTTTCAAAAGAACTATTCAACAATGATGAAAATGAGTCTTTCAAAAATAGTTAGCTTAAAGCGATTGAAGGAACGAGAGGAAAAGCGAGAACACTTAAAGAACCATTTCTTCAAGCGCGGTTGCTGCGTTTTGTAGCCAATAGAAAAGCTCTACAATATCGACTACTTTTCAATAATGGAAAAGGAGTTCGACAATTCAATAAAATATTATTTCTGCCAAAGAACAAAGTCATCTGCACCTTCTGACCAACTTCAAGAAATGTAAATCAGTAGAGTTTGAGTTAGCGATCACAAATATGTTGTTGTTGTTAAAAAGCCAACGTGTTCCAAGTCTAAAAGCTGCATTAGAAGTAAATAGATACCGAAATAAGTTCATTTTTACAGCGGTATTGAATCAATGATAAGTCTGTAGGAGAGAATATTTTTGATTGAAATCTTCTTCAAATTTTATAGCTGCCATTGTAGATACTTTTAGGAAAATACGCGAAACGAAAAGGCGATTTTTTTCAACTTTTCTGAAATTTTATGATCAGTTTCAACTCTCATTATGTGTTAAATACACGTAAATGCAGAGTGACTTGTGATAAACCAATTAGTGTATAAGATGCTATAAATCGGTTGAAATACAAATGATAATACTTTTTTCGAAGTGCCAAAAGTCATACTTATCATCTAATTTCACACGAAATGAGTTTCATGAGAAGAAGCATAAATTTCTAGATGCAGCTTAATACACACTATTTACTCGTATAATATCAGAAAAAACAATTGAAAAACATAAATTGATGATATATTTTCACTATTTATGATTTCTTTTGTTGTACTTTCAGTCGGAAGAGTTGTCTACTTTTTCCTAGTATCATTTAAAAGTAGTTATATTCAATCTCTTTCTTTTAAAACTCATTAGCTTTGATCCAATATTTGCTGCTGCTGTTAAAAAATTAAATAATGAAGCAACAACAGAAACAACATCTGAAACACTTCAAGTATTTATTAATGAATTTCTTGAGGCATTTGGTCCATATTATGTTTTGAGTGTCATTGTTGGTTTTGAAGCAAATGTCTACACATATTCTAACGAAGTGTTCCATAAGGAACACGATTATTCTAAAGTTGAAGAACAAGTATCATTAACATTTTTTTATGAAAAATTTAAACTATCTGGTGACGATCAATGGAAAGATATTTATAATAGAATGATGGAAGATTATAAGCCAAACTTTATAGTAAATTCCGTTTTTCATCCACCAGTTAAAAGTGAACCAGGACAACTAGATTGGATTGTTTGGCAAAATAAATTCATTAATGAACAACCGGTTGTAATTAATCGTACAATAGCACCTATCAGAAATTTATTAATGAAATACCCAATTGTACGACAACACGTATATGAAACAACAGAATTCTATCTGACTAATGGTTATTATCCAACGTTAAAACAATTACGACAATTAAAACGATCAGTACAAATGGTACCTGGTACAGATATTGTTGGTTGTGGCTTTGATATTGGTGCAAGAGAAAGTAAACTATGTTTATTTGATGTTGAAAATTCAGGAACTACAACCACATGGACACATCCATTTGATCTAACAATAACATATTTAATACCAACACATTATTTTATTGAAGGCACACCTGAAGCAGATGATATCCATGAAACAATATTTTATAACTCGGAACAAGAAATATATTATGAAAAACGTTATGTTATTGATAACGATAGTGATGGCTTTCTCGGTTTTGGTGGAAAACATGAACATAAAGAGATTAATCACATTTATAAACAAATTTATCAACACAGAATGAATTTGGGCTTAACAGAAAGAGTAATTAATTGGTATAAATTAAGCATTAGCACATTTCCACCACCATCAAAGTTTAATTCAATAACACAAGTTGTATTTGATTATTTATCAAACTTAACAGAATTTGACAAAACAAATCCAATATGGAAACAATGATGGGACGCTTATGGCACACACGTGGTTGTTGTTGCAAAAATGGGTGGTGTTTTGTGGGCTGAAGACTGGTTTGAAAAATGTTTATTAACAATTTATGATGCAACCTGGATACAAGAACAAATAAAACGACGTTACGATCCATTCGATATATTTACGAAAACTACTGATAAACATTATACACCGGAGATACATGTTCACGAGGATTATTTGAAATATTCCGAATATGAAATAAAAGCGTTTGGTGGTACAGAAACAATTGATCCAAAAAATTGGGCACAGTGGGTACCAACCGTTAAATACCGTCCGAGACCAACAACCTATGTTTTAAGACCAATTTATACTCTGTTACCAGTTAACAGCCCCTTACGTCAAATATTAAAACAAGCAACACATGAGTATCGTTCACAATTAGATAGTTCAGCCGAAGAATATATTGATGAATTAAAGTCTATTGCTGATTCACCATCATCAAAATATTCATTAACACCAATACTGCCACCACCTGAACTAAAAAATAAGGCTTGTAAATGTGATTTTTCTATGTTATGGCGTATAGCGTTTCGAAATTCTTACACAACTGGTCAAAAATAAGTCACCTTCTGGCACTCGCAGCGCTCCTGATCATTTAACTGGAAGTTTTATATGCATAGAATAAGCATAAAAAGCCATCCAGAAAATATTTCTATCATTTAGCCGTAGAAGATAATATATACAATTACTTTTAAAATATGATGTCTCGTAGCCCTGTGCGACAAACCTGTTCAGATGTAGATTTTTGAACACAATATAAACAGTTCGAACAAAAACACAACTCACGCACAAATCCCACTGAAATTAAGAAGCTCATGAAAATATGATACTTTTGTAGTAAACACCTCAACAGCTAGTAAACATTTGATTAGAACATATTTAGTTGTTATTGCAAAAAGGGAGTTTTGTTGATTTTAGAATCAGCCTTAGAATCTCTGGAAACCTCTTGGGATCTCACAAACTAGAACAGTAAACTATAGACTTTTTTCATCAATAGCTAGTTCAAAGTGCCTCCTACAAAGCAGAATTTAAGCAACGCCTTAAAGAACCGTGGTTTCACTGGGAGTTTTCGGGAGCTATTAGGATCAGGTATTCCAGTCTGATGAACTCCGAAACACGGAGTTGAGTACAAAAGTAATCGATACTTCCGAATCTCAATCTACCTTTATGCAAAAGGTTAAATAACCCTGGGTGATGAATTTTTTCTGGAAGTCGGCCTTGGAGCCTTTACCGTGTAAGCACCATTATTTTTATTGAAATCTCCAAAAACTTTGAGTAGGACTTAAGATACACTGAAATTAATTTATAACAAAGAGCATGCTACAAAAAGACACGATTTCTAAAAGCCTACCTCAAATTCTTTGCAATACGCTCAAAGAGTTTAGTAATATCGACAGATGTGACCTATAAGAGAATGTACCGTGTATTTACTGTGAGTTTATGATAACAGTAATACAGCAAACAAGACAAATTACGTACAAAAACATTTGTAATAACCTCATAAGGCATATAGCTGACAGAATGGTTAATGTGTAACACTCCTTGGATGTTGCTAAGTGGCCGCCTCTTCGAAAAAATGGAAAATAAAGTTTTGTCATCCATTTTAACCGTAATTTGTTGACAGATCGGTTTTTCATCTTTTTCTTATAGGATAACCATAATTTTCTGAAGTCAAAAGCAAATGATGCACGTAGTGTTTTATGTCCAATTGTTGGTTACTATGGTTCATTTTGT